CGAATCTGAAACAGTGGCGAATGAGAGTAGATGGATGGAGGAAGGCGACTGCGAACACCGCTGTGGGAAAAGGAAGAGATCCGAAGAGATCCGAAGCACAATTTTTGACACGTCTCCAAGGCAGACGCATGCGGAAGCTCAGGCGAAAGGAACTTTGGGAGAGGAGAATGCGAGGGCATGGGTCCAAAAGACCATCCGGAAATGGATCAAATAGGAAATGGAACTTTGTTGCCTTGCGAGTGGAAAGCTGGGCCTATAGGAGAAGACACAGGAGCTGTTGTCTTGCCTCTTTGATCGGACATGAAAGATTTGCTACCGAGTCAGTCTTTACTGAGTCCTTTTCCAGGTTCCAGTAGGTGATATCTGGGTTGACAATCGGTTGTGATTCTGATGCTGATGCCGATGCTGGTGCCGACGCTGGCGCCGATGTTGGTGCCAATGCTGGTGCCGATGCTGGTGCCAATGCTGGTGCCGATGCTGGTGCCAATGCTGGTGCCGATGCTGGTTCCGACACTGATGCCGATGCTGATGCTGATGCCGATGCTGATGCCTATGCTGATGCCGATGCTGTGTGAGTGAGTGGTCAGTTGAGGTAGCCTCGGCACCTGGAGGAAAGAAAGAGAGGGAAGGTTGAGGTTGTGGGGAGATTGTTTGAGTGAACTGAGCAAGTAGTGGCAAATAGTAAAAGGCATGCAAAACCTCAACATCTGGAGAAAAAGAAGAAAAAGGTGGGGAAGGAGGAGAGGCATGCTCGTGGGGATGCTCTGGAGGAGCTTTCACCTCTGGAGGAGCTTTCACCTCTGGAGGAGCTTTCACCTCTAGAGGAGCTTTCACCTCTGGAGGAGCTTTCACCTCTGGAGGAGCTTTCACCTCTGGAGGAGCTTTCACCTCTGGAGGAGCTTACACCTCTGGAGGATCTAGTGTTGCAAGAAGGTGAAACTGCTTTCAAACGTCTCCAAACCCCCACGCTTCAATCACGAGTGGTGAGCGCGCATGGACCAGACCCGGTGCGAGGGAGCAGCGTTGAGCAGCAAACCACAGGGGACTCACTTCCTTGAGAGGCAGAGTCAGGGGATCTTAGCATCGTCGTCGATGCGAAACTTGTAGTCCTTTTAACTGAGCTCCTCCCCCGCTTGAATCACGAGCCTAGCCTCGAGTAGAGCAGAAGCAACACTGGAGGCTCGAGTAGGCTCGAGCAGAAGCACTGTTGAGAAGTATTGGCTTGAAGCCGAGGCAGCACTAGGTGTGCCAGAGGCGAGACTCACTTTCTGGAGAGGCAGAGGCAGGGGATCTTGGCATCGTCCTCAATGGGAAACTTGTAGTCATAACGTAACTGAGGTCCTCCCCCACTTGGGCCACGAGAAGAGCAGCCTTGAGAACGACCAGCATGAAATGGAAGCAGAAGTAGGAGAGAACTCACTTCCTTGACAAGCAGAGGCAAGGGATCTTCGCGTTGTCTTCGATGGGGAACTTGTAGTCGTAACTGAGCTCCTCTCCCGCTTGAATCACCCGCTTGGAGTAGATCACCACGTGCTTCTGCCCGCCTGCTACTATCACCTTGGTGTAACAGTTGGGCTGGAATGAAGGGGAGAGGTGGATTAGATTGTGTGGGCAGTTGGAGGAAGGATGGGGGCGCATTACGTTTCAAGCCTCCCTCATCGTACATATCGTTTCGTGCATATCGCACTAGTTTCTTGACAGCTCCATTGAAATCACTGACAGAGCACAACCCTGAGCTACATTTCTTTCTCCCCACATCTAAGCACATCACCGAGCACTTAAACAAGTCACTCACAACAATCACGTGATTTATGAATTGAGTGGGTTTTCTTTTCTACAGCTCCTCCATTTTTGTTCCAGGGCCTTTTACACTCACATCACAAGAGTGGTTGATGAATCGAGCGAGGCCGCCACTGCGAGTGGCGTTCACCTGAACAGTAAGCGTTCCGATAAGAACAGCAAGAGGAGGTGGATGGGGAGATCAATTAGAGGATCAGGAGATAAGTGTAAGAGTAAAATCCGGAAGTAGAGGAGGGCAAGGCACTCGGAATCAGAAAAAGATTTGAAAGGCAAAAGTAAGTGTTTCGATTCAATCCCCTGCTGCCAATGTCACTGTCTGCCACATGCCTCCTCCCCCACGTGCCACCTCCTCCGCATGCCACCTCCCCCACATGCCAGCCACCTCCCCCATGTGCCACCTACCACACACAATCTCGACCACTCACCACCACATCTTCATCCACTCGAAACAAGTAGCTGCTGCCAATGCCATCCGCCTCATACATCCTCTCCCGCAGCTCCGACACTTGGTGGGTGGGAGGGTCAGAGCGTGGCAAGTAGGTGAGATAGGAAAAGAGTGTGAGTTCACTCTTAATCAGTCGCAGGTTGGTTGATGCTGCCAATGCCATCCGCCTCATACATCCTCTCCCGCAGCTCCGACACCTGGTGGGGGTTGCATGAATGGTGAGAAAGAAAGAGCGAGAGTGTGAGTCCACAGTCGCATAGCCAGCTGATGCCATCAACACCATCTCCCTCATACATCCTCTCCCGCAGCACCGATAGCTGATGGGTGGTGAATGTTGAGGTAAGACGGAAAGAGAGAGTGGGCCCGCAGTTGCATATTCGCGGACAGGCTGATGCTGCCAATGCCATATGCCACATACATCCTCTCCCGCAGATCCGACACCGGATGGTTGGGTGCGTGGGTGGGTGTTGACACGAAAAGGAAGTAAGTTCACCAAACAATTGCATGGTTGAATGGTGCTGCCAATGCCATCTGCCACATACATCCTCTCCCGCAGATCCGACACTGGATGGTTGGGTTGGGTGTGTGGGCGTTGAAATTGTAGAATGAGGATCGGTGAACTTGAGGCACAATGAGAGAAGAACAATATATCCTTAGTAGGAAGATGGTACAAGCCTGAAAGGCTAGAGCAATGTCCTTTCCAAGGATGAGTTCTAGAGAAGTGGGAAGCCACATTTATGTGGCTGAACTCTTGAGGCTAGCTGCAGCACCTCAAAGCTGAGGGCAGGGCTAGCCAACCTTGCCAAGCTAGCAATTGAGGCCACATGTTGCACATGTGGGCCAGGCTGGAACAACAGCCTACATGGCAGCATGTGGCACACCATAGGAGCCAACAAGGTGAGTATGGGATGGGTGGACAGATGGCAATGCCAACTGTGACCACACTTCACTGTGGGTGAGTGTGGTGGAGTGTGGGAGTGTCATGTTCGGCATAATGAGAAGAGAAGGTGCTGTCGATGAGAGTTGAACCCGCGACCACTAAGACCAAAGGTACCCACTGGGACATTCTTGCTTCCACAACACCCCCCCTCAAGGATGTCCCCGGGGTAGGGTGCCTCAAGAGGAAACATGGGTGAGACCGAGAAGACCACGGATGCGAAGAAAAGGGTCACGGGGCAAAGGCTTGGTCCCAATGTCAGCGAGGTTGTCTTGAGTAGGAACATAGTGAAGGGTGATGGAGTGGTCGGCAACATGATCGCGAATGAAATGGTGCTTGATGTCGATGTGCTTGGCCTTGGGATGAAAGACGCCATCGTCCTTGGCGAGAATGATGGCACTGTTGTTGTCACACGAGATACGGGTGGGGCCGGTAGGGGGAAGTCCAACTGCAGTAAAGAGCGAACGAAGCCATAATGCCTCGTGCACCGCGGCGCCCAGAGAGTAATATTCAGCTTCACATGAAGAGGTAGCAACGACGGCTTGGCGTTTGGACTGCCAAGAGATGAGTGACGGACCGAGGAAGAACAAGTAGCACGTAACGGAGCGACGCAGCTCCCCCTCCGGTCCCCAAGAGGCGTCACACCAGCCATGAAGTTCGAGGGTGTCGGGAATGCCACCAAGGAGAAGCCCAAGGGAGGTAGTCCCTTTCAAGTAGCGAGCAATGCGTTTGGCAGCCGAGACGTGAGGAGTAGACCAATCGTGAAGGTGACGAGCAAGAACTCCAGCGCTATATGCGAGGTCGGGACGGGTCCCCACCATGGCATACATGATGGAGCCGACAAACGAGGTGTAAGGGAAGGAGGAGGAGTGCGGGGAGGAAGTCACGGGTGGCTGAAACTTTGTGTCCATGGGAGTGGCAGCGGGGTTCAGTGGAGAGAAGGAGTAGGTGTCTAGAATGGAGGTGATGAATTTGGATTGATGAAGGTGGAGAGTGCGGGAAGTTCGATCACGAGTGATGTGAAAGCCAAGGTAGTAGGAGAGAGGTCCGAGGTCACGAAGTTTGAAGCGAGATGAAAGGGCATGCTTGAATGAGGCAAGAAGAGAGGAGGAGGAGGAGAGAATGATGAGGTCGTCAACATAGACGAGAAGCATGAAGAAGGATGCAGCTGTAGGCCGATAAGGTGAGTGAGGAGGAGCAATGAAGAGGCCGGGGTCCGCACGAGCAGCAAAGAGGTGAAAGGCAGCAAGCTCCTCACGAAGCTTGCGGTACCAGCATCGCGGAGCTTGCTTCAACCCGTACAGCGGTTTGTGCAAGAGACAAACTTGCTCAACACCATGGACCGCCGGAAGGTCATAACCGGGAGGCTGCATCATGTAGAGAATCTCATCAAGGGTGCCGTTGAGGAAGGCGTTGGAGATGTCCAGCTGATGGACGTCCAGGTTGAAAGCGGCAGCTATGGTGAGAAACAAGCGGAGGGTGGCGAAGCGGACGGTAGGAGCAAAGGTGTCATGAAAATCAACACCATCACGTTGCTTGAAGCCTTTGACAACAAGGCGGGCTTTGCGGCGTTCAATAGAACCATCAGCGTTCTCCTTGACCTTGAAAATCCATTTGCATGGAATCGGCTTGCACTTGGGTGGTCGAGGAACAATGCTGTAGGTGTCATTAGCGTGCAGGGCAGCGAGTTCCGCATCAGCAGCCTTGATCCATTCGGCAGCATCAGGGCCGGTACGAGCCTCATGAATGGTTTGAGGTTCGTAATGATGGTGAAGGGCAGCATTGGCAGAGGTGTTGGAAAGAGGAGGAAGAGTGAAGTCAATGGGTTCGGAAGGGGATGGTAAGACCTTGAGGAAGGAGAAAAGGGAAGGATCGGGAAGAGCTGAAGGGGATGGCGGGGAGGAGCGAGTCGTGCAATGGGGAGGGGGAGGCGAAGAGGGAGGAGAGAAGGATGGAAGGTGAAAGTCTTGCGGCGTCGAGGGCAGAGGAAGGTTGGAAAACAATGGAGGAGGAGAAGATGTGGCTGGTGCGGGCAGGTTTGGGGATTGTGGGTGGGGGTTGGTGGAGGAAGGTATGGTGGGGGAAGGAGAGGGAGGGGAGATTGGGTCCAAGGAAGAAGGGTGTGTAGGAGGAGGTAGTGAGGAGGATGTGGGTGGAGATGACGATGGAGGGTCGCGAGAGTCGTCGGAAGGCGGTGTAGAGGGCTCCATGAAGATGACATCACGAGAAAGGATGACACGGTGCTGAGATGGGATATAGATGCGGTAAGCTTTGGTGCCGTCGAGATGACCATATCCAACCATGATGCCGGCCGTGCTTCGGTCGTCGAGCTTAGAACGCCGTTGGGAAGGAATGAGGACCGAGACGGGTGAACCGAAGATGCGGAGGTGTGATACATCCGGACGTGCACCGGTCCATAGTTCCATGGGAGTCTTAGAAGTTGAACCACCCCGACTAATGGCATGATTACGAAGATAGGCAGCAGTAAGAGCGGCTTCACCCCACCAGCCTTTGTCCATGTGTGCATCATGGAGCATGGAACGGACCATCTCAAGTAAAGTCCGGTTGGCCCGCTCAGCTACTCCATTTTGCTCAGGTGTGTATGGCGTGGAGAGGTGGCGGGCGATGCCACGAGCTGTAAGGAATGAAGTGAAGGCTTTGGAAGTGAACTCCAAGGCACCGTCAGAGCGAAAGGTTTTGATGGTGTGTGGGGAATGCATGTTGTGCACCCGAGTGACGTAAGCCTTGAAGCATGAAAGTGCCTCCGACCGGTGGCGTAGGAGATACACTGTAATGTGGCGGGAGTAGTCGTCGATGAAGGTGAGAAGGTAGCGAGCGCCGCCAATGGTAGTTCCATATGAAAGCGGTCCAGCAATATCTGAGTGAATGAGTTGGAGTGGGGCTGTGGTGCGAGAATGGGACACGCAAAATGGCTGACGTGTTTGTTTCCCACGATAGCACGAGATGCAGGGGGGAATCGAGGTGGAGGAGAGGTGAAGACCGGTGACCAGCTGCTGCCGATGAAGTGTTGACAAGGCCTGCATGTTGAGATGCCCGAAACGACGATGCCAGAGGTACGAGGAGGTGGTGGTGGAGGCTGGACATGCAGTTGGCCTGATAGAAGGAGCAGCACTGCTCCCATGATGCAGTTGAAGATAAAACAGATTGTTGCGGGTGTAGCCCTCGCCAATAGGAACGTCATCAGATGTGAGAACAACGCGCCCAGCAGCGGGGAACGAGACGGCAACGCCGACAGCACCAAGCGCACGAACAGAGAGCAGGTTGTGAACTGATGAAGGGAGAAATAGAACGTTGTCAAGCTGAATGGTGGTTTCCGATGTTGGTGACCGAAGAGTAGCCACCACCGTGCCGACTCCCAAGACCTTGTAAGTCTCTCCTCCACCAAAACGAACAAGGATCTCTTCGTTGGGCTTCTTGAGAGACGAAAACAGCGAACGATCCGAGCAGATATGGGAGGATGCGCCGCTGTCCACCAGCCACGACGAAGTCCGCTCCATATTGAATGAGGAGGCCGTGAATGCCGATGCGTAGGGAGCCCCATAAGGGAAGAGGAGGAGGAGAAGGAGGATGGTGAGAATGAAGACAGCAGCGACGAGAGGAGTCCATGTGGAGAAGATGGGGTGGTGGCTGGTGCTGACAGCAATGTCCACGTACTGGGAATCAGGTACGGACTGAGGGGTTGATGGGGCAGGAGGTGGTGTGGGGGTCGGAGTAGCTTCAGCAGAGGAGCTGGTGGAGACATGCACCGAAGGTTGGAAGACGGATTTCTCCCGTTTAGAGCTTTCTTCAAGCTCTTTCTTCTTCTTCAATTTGAAGCATTCATCGATGGTGTGACCCGTTTTCTTGCAGTAACGGCAGGTGGGCGACTGGCGTGAACCGGAGCGAAGAGGGTGGGAGGGCTGGGAATTGAGGTTGTATGCACCCTCCATGTTACGGCTTGTACCAGATTGTGACCGCTCCCAATCGGCATCGAGTAGGCGTGACTGTAGGTATTCAACCGTCATAGACTTTATGTCTTTCACGGTGCAAATGGTTTCAGTAAGGGTCTTGAACGAGTCCGGAAGGTTGAGGATGATGGAGATTACCACCACCCATGATGGTAGCTCAAAGCCGGCAGATTTGAGTTGGTGTGTAAGGTTTCCAACTCGATCAAAGTAAGAGCGAAGACTTGTTGTTGGGTCCATCCGTGTAGTGATGAGATCCCGGAGGAGAGCCACTTGTGCATGGTTGCCCATGCAGTCGAACCGCGCCATGATGCATCCCCACATATCCTTTGTCGTGTTGGCTTGAGCAAGAGTGAGCGATAGTTGAGGATGGACGGCTGACATGAGAAGATAGTATGCATGCTCCTCTTTTTCTTCATCCGGCAGCGAAGCAATCGAATGGGCTGTCTTAGGGGCTGCACCGCTGTTGCCTTCGGTAGTCTCTCCACCGCTGGTTGTGGAAGAGGAGATTGAAGGACGCGAAGCAACCTTGGGATCTCCAAGGAGGGAGATCAGCCCGAGGACATTGAAGATGTAGCAGATCTTTTTCTTCCATGGAATGAAGTTGGAACCATCTGGTTCCAAGATGGGAAGGGTGTGCCGACCGAGAGGCGTTTCAACTTGAGCCATGAAGTGTGCAACGTTCACTAAGCTAGAAGCCTTGCTCTGATAGCATGTAGAATGAGGATCGGTGAACTTGAGGCACAATGAGAGAAGAACAATATATCCTTAGTAGGAAGATGGTACAAGCCTGAAAGGCTAGAGCAATGTCCTTTCCAAGGATGAGTTCTAGAGAAGTAGGAAGCCACATTTATGTGGCTGAACTCTTGAGGCTAGCTGCAGCACCTCAAAGCTGAGGGCAGGGCTAGCCAACCTTGCCAAGCTAGCAATTGAGGCCACATGTTGCACATGTGGGCCAGGCTGGAACAACAGCCTACATGGCAGCATGTGGCACACCATAGGAGCCAACAAGGTGAGTATGGGATGGGTGGACAGATGGCAATGCCAACTGTGACCACACTTCACTGTGGGTGAGTGTGGTGGAGTGTGGGAGTGTCATGTTCGGCATAATGAGAAGAGAAGGTGCTGTCGATGAGAGTTGAACCCGCGACCACTAAGACCAAAGGTACCCACTGGGACATTCTTGCTTCCACAACAGAAATAAAGAGGTGGTGTATTTTCGGCCTTTACATTCAATACCTTAACATTCTCCGCATGTAGATTCCCTACCTTATCATAGCAGCACTAACCGATCGCCGGATGATGGTGCCGGTATACTCGATGATGAAATCCCCTGCTTCAATCCGCTCCAGAGACAGCAGCTCCCACCAGTGTATCCGGCTGCTTTCAACCTTCCAACATTCCAAACGTTTCATCAGCACTCGCCCATCATCCCAGAGAACTCACCGATCGGCGGATAATTGTTCCAGTAAACTCGATGATGAAGTCCCCTGCTTCGATGCGCTCCAGAGACAGCAACCCCCACCCGTGTATCCGGCTCCGCACCAGCTTCAGATTCTTCTTCCTCCCCTTCAGCTGCTTGAACCTCACCCCTTCCAACCTCTCTGAACCCACCGCTAGCTGCCTCAGCAGCGCCCTGCTGCTCCTTGCACTGCCGATCAGGGAGAGAGCACCACTCCCCATGCTATTGCCCGCACCCATCCCCTCCCATGCTTCCTCCCCTGTTGCTCCTCCTCCTCCTCCTAGCAACCCCACTCCACCCCCTGCAGCAGAGGCAAACAGAGGGAGGCGGGAAGAGGAACCTGGGAGGTTGGCCTGGAAAAGATTCGCTCGGGAGAGCAGGCGGGGAGTGCACATGGAAGCCCCTGCGCCCGGCCCTGTGCGGTCTGCTTCCCATTCTCCCGCGCCCTCGCCTCTATCCCCTTTATAGTACGCCTCGGCTCGTTGCTTTAGAGCCTCTCTCTGAGCAATTTGCTTCACGTGTTCTCTCCATTCCCATCCGCCCCACTCCACACGAGCACACGACGATCTCTCCCTCTGCTTCCTTTCCCTTTCCCGCTTCTCCTTCTCTCTCTTCTCCCTCCGCTCCTGCTCCCTCCTCTCTTTCTTCTCCTGCTTATCTTCCCAAATCCCCTCATCAAGCTTCCGTTTCTTCAACATTTTCTTCCTCTCCTCCTCTTCCTCCATTCCCCAATGCATCCCTGCACCCTCCCCATGACCATCACCCAGCAAAGAAACCCTCACCTCCTGCTCTCTCTCAAAATCATCTCCTTCCTCTTGCTTTAAATCTGTCTCCCTCCTCTTCGCATAATCTTCCTCCTCCCTCTCCACCTCATCCTCCTCCCCACTCCCGTGACCCAGCAGCCCACCTGGCTGCTCCTCTGCCTGCCTGCTAGCCAGAATAAGCTGCCTCTCCGTCCTCGCTTCAACTGAATGTACACCAGTAGACTTTTTCTTTCCCTTTGCTGCAGCTGCATGTGGGACCGGAACCAATTCAGATGACTTTGACGTTCTAGACGCACCAGCAGCAGCAGCAGCAGAAGCAGCACCAGCTGCTGAACCGTGCATTGAACCAGCTGAGGTATTCTGCAGGTATCGCATGAGCTGGCGCTCCGTGCCAATAGGAACATGCCAGCTGGCTTCACCCTTCTCCTTGTCCCTTTCCTCACTCCCACTCCCATCCCCCTCTTCTTCATCACCCTTCCTTCTTTTCTTCTTCTTCCTCTTCCATTTTACCCTCGTGCCCTTACTCCCTCCTCTCGAATCAATCTCACTCTCCTCCTCGCGCTCCCTCTCCTGTGTCTCGCTCTCCTCTCTCTTACCCTCCCAATCGCCCTCCCTTGCACCAGACACACCTGCACCAGACACACCTGCACCAGACACACCTGCACCAGGTCCCCTTTCCTCTCCCCTTCGCTCTCCTCCGCTCCCATCCACTCATCAGACGACCATTCTGTGAATCGCCTACTCTTGCTTCGCTTCTTCTCCTTCCTCCTGTGCTTGCCCTTCTCCTCACCCCTCTCCCTCACTCTGCTCTTCTCTTTCTCCCTCTCCCGCTCCCTTTCTCTCTCCATCTTCTCCATCTCCATCTGATTCTCCCTCATCTTCCTCCTCACCCACTCCTCCCGCCAGTCATCCTTCTTATGAGCCTTTTGAGAATCTTCCAAAGTGTTACCACCACCTACCTCTCCTTTTGCCTCCCTCTCCCTCTCCCTCTCCCTTTTCATCTCCATCTGATTCTCCCTCATCTTCCTCCTCACCCACTCCTCCCGCCAGTCATCCTTCCTGTGGCCTGCAACGAATGACTGTTGCTCCCCTTGCATTTGTTCGCCCCTCCCCTCCTCCTTTCCCCTCCCTACAATCACACCCCTCTCTGCACCCGAACTGTGCCTATACACACTCTGATCCATGTGATAATAAGAGGGACCCCATCTGCCCATACCACCGCTCTCCACTCTTCCCTCCTTCCTCTCCTCTCCTCTCTCCTCTCTTCTCTCTTTTCGAGTCAATCCACGTTTCCCATCCCCTTCCCTCTCACCTTCCCCTCCCCCAATCTCCGACTTTATCCTCTCTCCCCCTTCAACCCCATGTCCCACGCCCTGCCCACCACTTCTCATCGCCTGAAACTCTGCCTGCAATCGCTGCTCAAAAGCAGCCATAAAAGCACTCTTCCCATCACCCCGCACCTTCACCAGAGCAGCCCCTGCAGTTTTCCCTCCACCCATCCCCACACCACCGTTAGCCAGGCCATCGCCACTAGCCGTTTTAGTACCCATATCCCTGCTCCCGCTTGTCTCCACACCCCAGTCCAGATAGCTGCCCTTGTACACTCCCAACTTTCTCGCTCTCGCATCCGACCCTTTTCGAGCACTTAACGAAGTGCCAGTTGTTTTTACCTCAAAACGCTTCTCCACCCCCATCTCCTCTCTTTTCTCCCCTCCCACTTCCTCCTTTCTCTTCCCTCCCTCCGCCCTGTTCTCCCCTCCCTCCTCTTCCCTCTTCTCCCCTCCCACCTCCCTAGTTCCAACTGCACCTGCCTTTCGCTCCTCACTATCCTCTGTCTCTTCCTCCTCTCCCTCTGCTTCCTCCTCTTTCCTCTCCTTCTCCTCCCCCATGTCTTCTCCAACCTTTCCTAAAGGGCTTTCCCTTTGCTCCTCATCCTCCTCTTCCCCCTCTTCCCGTCTCTCCCCAATACCTCCTAACAGCCTGCCTCTTACGTCCTCCTCCCTCACTCCTGCCCCATCGCATGACCCTTTCTCCCCCCCTCCTGCGTTTTTTCTCCGCCCCAATGCAACAGCAGCCGCAGCACCCATTGCCCCATGACTGGCATCACCTCTTTGCTTAGCCTCCCCGTGATTTCGATCCATACCCAAGCCTTGTTTAGCTGCATTTCTGTCAGATGCAACACCTCTATTCAGCATTTTCTCCCCCTTGGATGGCTTTTGAGTCGTCTCAGCTGCAGCACCATCCACTCGGCCTCGTTTCGTTTCAACGCGCATCAAAGCACGGTCCACACCCTGTTTTTGACTCGACTCAAAAGCACGATCCACTCCATACTCTTCTTCTTCTTTTCCCCCTTGTCTCAGCTTCGGTTCGTCCTGCTGACACCCCAAACGCAGCTTAGGTTCGGGAAGATGAGCAGGAGAGCTCACAGCCTGCCGAGCCACCTGCCGAACCTCCGGCGGAGCTGCATGCGTAGGCTCGGAATCCAGCCCTTCTGCTGCCAAAGCTGCAGCTTCGGTTTGGAGGGCGGAACGGAAGGAGAGGCTGTGAGCCGTATTGGCCCATGAGACCAGGCGGATCGAGGGGGTGAAGGAGGGTGAGGAGTGCCGGAGAATGGATGTCGAACGTGGGAGGTGCGAGGGAGGGAGAGGGTGAGAGCGGTGTGCTTGTGGGAGGTGCGATATCGAGAGAGGGGGCTGCTGTGAGCGAGCGGAAGGAGGGCGGTTGAGAGACAACAACACTTCCCTCCACTGACCGCTGCTGAGAGCCTGTGAGGAGAGGGGGGAAGGAGAAGATGCACTGAGAGAGCTACAGAGAGAGGTGAGAGAACTACGGAGAGGTGAAGAGATAGAGACCTGTGGCTGAGAGGCAACGACACCTCCCTCCACTGGCTGCTGGCTACTGCTTAGTGCCTGTGAGGAGAGGGGGAAGGAAAAGAGGCACTGAGAGAGCTATAGAGAGAGGTGAGGAGAGATGGTCCTGTGGCTGAGAGGCAACGACACCTCCCCTCCACTGGCCGCTGCCTAGTGCCTGTGAGGTGAGGAGGCAGGGATGGGGGATTTACAGTGAAGGCAGGAAAGGAGGCAAGGAAAGACGTAAGGATATATTTCGAGGCGCCTTGATAACAGACACTCCCCTTTGCGGAGGCCAGTGCTTAGTGCCTGTAAAAGGGAGGCAAGGAAAAGTGGCACCGAAAGAAGTGAGGAGAGAGGTAGGTGCCTTGGCACTCCTGTGGTTGAGAGAATTAGGGAACTAGAGATTAACACTTCCCTTCCCTCCACTTTTGAGTCGACTCAAAAGTCACCTCATTAGGGAACTAGAGATTAACACTTCCCTTCCCTCCACTTTTGAGTCGACTCAAAAGTCACCTCATTAGGGAACTAGAGATTAACACTTCCCTTCCCTCCACTTTTGAGTCGACTCAAAAGTCACCTCATTAGGGAACTAGAGATTAACACTTCCCTTCCCTCCACTTTTGAGTCGACTCAAAAGTCACCTCATTAGGGAACTAGAGATTAACACCTCCCTTCCCTCCACTTTTGAGTCGACTCAAAAGTCACCTCATTAGGGAACTAGAGATTAACACTTCCCTTCCCTCCACTTTTGAGTCGACTCAAAAGTCACCTCATTAGGGAACTAGAGATTAACACTTCCCTTCCCTCCACTTTTGAGTCGACTGAAAAGTCACCTCATTAGGGAACTAGAGATTAACACTTCCCTCCACTGGTCTCTGCTTCCTGCCGCTGAGGAGGGGAATTAGGGAGGAGGTAGGAAACCAGGCAAGGAGAGACAAAAGACCTGCTAATCCTCCTCACTCACCCTCAGCATGAACCGCCCCAGTAGCAGCTCCTCCTCCTCCTGCCCTTCGTTACTCGAGAATCGTTGGTTTTGTGAGAATCCTCAAAAGACAACTAGTGAATCCTAAAAAAACATCTACCGAGCGAGAGAAGGCTGGGATGGGAGTGGACTCACTCACCCTCAGCATAAATCGACCCAATAGTAGCTCCTCCTTCTCCTGCCCTTCGCTCTCCTCCATCCACTCCTCTCCATCCTCCTCTGATACCCCTCGTGCCATCCCCTCCATACTCCCGCCCTCCCTCTCCACATCCTCCTCGTCTCCATCACTCCCATCCTCCTCCTCTCCACTCTCCTCCCCTTCTTCCTCCTCCTCCTCCTCCTCCTCCTCCTCCTCCTCCTCCTCCTCCTCCTCCTCCTCCTCCTCCTCCTCCTCCTCCTCCTCCTCCTCCTCCTCCTCCTCCTCCTCCTCCTCCTCGCTTTCCTCATCATCATCCTCATCCTCCTCCTCCTCCTCCCCCTCTCCCTCCTCCTCCTCGTCATTCTTCCCCTCCTCTTCTTCCTCCCCCTTACTCCTCAGCACCACGCCACCACCAAGACTCCTGGTACCCACTAGCGCTACCTTCCGACATGTCTCAAAATCCACCCTTGTTTTGGCACTGCTACTGAACAGCGTTTGGAGGGCTGACAGGGGCTGGGGTGTCACAACATCCATCCCCTTGTCTTTCCTTTTCCCATCTGCACTCCTCTCGCTCACACTCCTCTCGCTCACACCCGTTTCGCCTGCAATTCCTCCACCCGCGCCCCTGTCACCATCCCTTCCTTCATCCCCACTCAATCCATCCCCACTACCAGCCTCCCTTCCTGCATCTCCAGTCATCCCTCGACTGACCCCATCCCCATCCCTCACACCAATGCCATCATGCCAATCCCTAATAATCTGCCCATTTCTGCAACCGTGAGACGAGCCCCTTTGGTTCCCACCGTGAGTGGTTTGCCGGATCAATTCGGTGGTTAAGTCCACATCCATGCCTCGACTTGCCGACTCCCCAACCTTATTGTGGTATGACGATGGGGAGAGGCTGTGTCTTGAAGGGGATGGCCCCATGTTTATCGCACCTGCGCTGGAGCCCTGGAGGCTTTAAGTGCTGTCGGTGATGTGACCCCTGCGCCATCACCACCAATGTCGTCACTGGCAGTGCTGTTGGCATTTAAGTCCTCAGGAGTCACATCACTGCCAGATGCATCAGCAGCAGGAGAAGCAGCAGCAGCAGCAGCAGCTACGGCAGCAGAGGCAGCAGTGGCATCACCAGCGGCAGCAGCAGCAGCAGCATTCGCACTAGCAGGAGCAGGAGCATCAGGAGTCACCTCTCTTTTAGCAGCATCAGTAGAAGCAGCAGGATAAGCAGTAGCAGCAGCAGCAGCTGTGGCAGCAGAGGCAGCAGCGGCAGCAGCGGCATCACCAGCGGCAACAGCAGCACCATTTACACTAGCAAAAGCAGGAGCATCAGGAGTCACACCTCCGTTAGCAGCATCAGCAGCAGCAGCATCACAATCACGCTGACTACCCCCAAGTGACCAGGGATCCTGTCCGCCTTCCTTTTCCTCCTCTTTTACCTCGGCCTTTTTCACCTCCTTCTCCTCACCATGTCCATTTCGCCCTTCCAATCCTCCTCCCATCTCAAAGCCACATCTCTTCCCCTTCACCACTCCCACCCCTATAGCAGAAATCCCTTTCACCCCTGCTCCCTGCACCAGTCTCTTTGAAAGGGGTATATCTTCCAACCCACTGTCACTCTCACCCTCCTTCTGCCTCTCCCTTTCCCTCTCCCTTCTTCTCTCCCTTCCCCTCTCCCTTTCCCTCTCTCTTTCCCTCTTCCTTCCCCTCTCCCTCTCCCTCTCCTCTCTTTCCTGCTGCTCCCCTTCCTCCACGTCTCCCCTTTCTCCTTCCGCTCTCTCCTTCGTCCCATCATCAACACCACCACCAACGCCAATAGCAGCACAACCACCATCCCCAGCACCGTCACCATTGCTGTCAGTACCAGCCCCCTTTGCCCGCTTTCCCATCATCCACCCCTCCGCCTTTCCCTCCTGTAAAGTATCACCTGAATCCTTATCACTTTCCCCACCTAAATCCTTCACTCGTTCCCACCCAACGCCCCAACCATCTCACCTCCTCCACTCTTCCCTCTCACTCTACCTCCCTCAACCTTATCATCCCCGTCGCTCTCACCACTGCTCTCAGCAACACTCTCAGCAACACTCTCAGCACCATTTCTGTCTGCTCTCCCGTCCCTTGCCCTCCACTCCACAATCCCCTTCTGTTTTTCCTCCACACCTCCCTTCCTTCCTCCTCCTCCTGCTTCTCTTCCTGCTCCTTCCCCTGCTTCCTCTCTTCTTCCCCGATCCCCTTTCCATTCTCCTCCTCCTCCTCCAGCCTCCTTCCCCCCCCCACCCCCTGTTCCCCCTCCTCCCGCCTTCCCACCTCCCATCAACAACTACAGCCCTGTCAGTATTCCCCCCGTCCTCACTGCTGCTGCATGCACACTCGCTCCCCCTGTTCATGCCTTAGCTTCATCCATCTTTCCTCCACTCCCACTCCCATTCCCAGTCCCAATCTCCTCACACACACCCCATGTTTCTGTCGCCCCTCCATCTTCCCCACCAGATTCACAGCGAGAAGGCTTAAAACCCCTCACATCACGCTCCTGCTCCTCCTCTGCTTCCTCCTTTCTCTTTCCCCCTCTTTCTCCCTTCCCTCTATCTCCTTCCCCTGCTTTCTCTCTCAATTTTCCCTCATGCCTCTCCTCCCTCCTGTCACTCTGCCCTCTGCTATCCTGAACCCTCCATAACTCCGCATCTCTGTCCCTCTCTTGAACCCCCTTCACCATCCCGCTTCCTCCCTCCCTTTCTGCCTCCACACTCCCTCCCTCCTCTCTTTCCTCTGACCTCACTCGCTCTTCGTCCCTCCTCTCCTCCCCTCCTTTTCCATGCCCTTCCTCGCCTGCTCTTAGCTGGAAACCTGGTGGTACTGAGTTTCGAGCTGTCTCAAACCCAGGAGGTCCGGCTGTTTCAAGACCAACTTCATACCCCTCTTGATGCTGCTGCTGCTGCTGGATCTTCTGCTGCTTCATATGCTGTTGCTCCCGCTGCTCACGTTGACCCTCTACCTCTTGCTCGTCCTCATGCTTCTTGTACCTTCGACCCTCTGAGGCAGCCAGCCAAGCAGTGGTGACTTCTGCTAAAGCTGCAACCCTCCTCCCCCACTCAGACCACCGGGAAGAGGACTGCAGCAGATTCAACGCGGAGGAGAGCGGTGGAGGGGAGTGAGGAAGGATGGGAGGGGGTGAGTAAAGGTGGTGAGGAGGGGGGTGAGGGAGAGTAGGAGGAGGGGAGTGAGGAAGAGGAGGGGGACGCGGCATGGGCAGGGTTGAAGGGAGAGGATGGAGCGGAAGGGGGAAAGAAGGCTGGGAAAAAGGAGGGACCAGTAGTGATGGTGGTAGGTGAGGGGGGGATGGTGACGGTGGGGGTGTTGGCAGTTTCTTTGCTCGAATAGGCGGCAGGGAGTCAAAATCCACTTTTTCAAATAGCAGCTTCGAATCTTTGGGCCCATCATGCCGCTTCATCCCCTCATGACCTTTCACACCCTCATGCCCCTCCACTCCACCCCTTCCTCCTGTCCCTGTGTTTCCGCACTTGCTGCTTCAGCCCTCGCCCCTTTTCCCATGCTTCTCCTGTGCTGGTTCGGTGGCTTTCGATCCTGCTCTGCCTCTCCTGCTGCCCCCCACTCTCTTTCAACTCTCCTCCTCCACTCTCCCACATGAGTGGAGACAAGAGGGTCACAAAGAGGTGGCGAAGAGACAGCAGCAACAACAGCAGTAGCAGCAGATGCAGGGGGAAAGGCAGCAGGATTGATATCCCCGCCAGCAGAGACACCAACATCAACAGCAGCGGAATCAGCAGCACTGGCGGCAGCAACTGCAGAAGCAGTGGCAGCACCAGCAGGGGAAGTAGGTGAAGCAGGAGCGGCTTGAGCTGGTGAGAGCACAGAGGCACGGTTAGAGAGAGAAGAGGTGAGGTGGGGCGACTTTTGGGCCGATTCAGAGAGCACAGAGGCACGGTTAGAGAGAGCAGAGGTGAGGTGGGGACCAACAGCCGCGTTGAGGAAGGAGGGGCAGTGCAGGGATTGCAGCACAAGGGCATGCAGACGTGTGCGGACGAGAGAGAGTGAGGTGGAAAAGAGGACGTCGAGAGAGGGAGGGGTGGATGACGGGAGCTGCTGCTGCTGCTGGTACTGCTGTTGTTGCTGCAGCGGCTGCTGCTGCTGTTGCTGGTGCTAGTGTTGTTGCTGCAGCGGCTGCTGCTGCTGTTGCTGGTGCTGGTGTTGCTGCTGCTGTGGCTTGGATGGGTGTCTCCCCAGCAGAGTCCCCAGGGAGATTGGAGGCGCGGGCGTGTTGCGAATGTCCGATAACTGGTGGGTGGGATGTGTGGGGACAGGCAAGAAGAAGGGGGTGGGAGATTGAGATTCAAGAATGGAAAGAGCACCATGCATCACATCACATCACATCACATCACATCACATCACATCACATCACATCACATCACATCACATCACATCACATCACATCACATCACATCACATCACATCGCATCGCATCGCATCGCATCGCATCACATCACATCACATCACATCACATCACACTATCCCAGGCACCTCACTATAAGGCGCATGCCGCATACATACCCTGAGGATGGGCATGACTCATGAGATGCCCACACTGTAACCACCATCTCAACATCAGAATGTAAAAACTGCCCCCCTGGGTGCCTTGTCTTTCATTCAATGCATACCGAATCATACCACTCCATCCCGCATTACACCCCACCCAACCATACCATGAGGCTGGGCATGAGATGCCCGCACTGCAGCCACCATCGCAGCATCACAATGGAAAACGGGCCCCTTGGGTGCCTTGTCTTTCCTTGCATACCAAATCGCACCATACCATACCAAACCATACCATACCAAACCATACCATACCATACCAAACCATACATACCATGAGGCTGGGCGTGAGATGCTCGCACTGCAGCCACCATCGCAGCATCACAATAGAAAACGGGCCCTTGGGTGCCTTGTCTTCCCCCAGATACGTCCAAAACAACCCACTCTCCTCATCCTCCTCCCCTCCTTGTCTCACGTCCATCCCCTTCTGACCGTCCTTCCCTCCTCCCACATCCCCTGTATCCCGCATCACTGCGTTCCCAGCAGCGGCATTGGTGCCAATAACAGCACCACTAACAGCAGCAGCACCACCAACACCACCAGCAGCAGCAGCTTCTTCTCTTCCTGATGCCATTTCCACTACTGTCCCTGCTTCAGAAACAGCAAGCATGGTCATTTGCTGCTTCGGCTGCAGCTGCTGATTCTGATCCTGCTGCTGCTGCTGCTGCTGCTGCTGCTGCTGCTGCTGCTGCTGCTGCTGCTGCTGCTGCTGCTGCTGCTCAGAAGCCTGCAGCATCAGCTCTGGCTGTTGCTGTTGCGATGCTGGAGGCAACGAGTTGAACGGAAGGGACACTCCAAAGTGAAGCAGCACGGAAGCTTCCCCTTTCAGCACCCGAGCCAGCGGCATAGGCTCGGCATCCGAGCCTTCCGGGTAGGCCAGGATATGATCCGGCAGCTCCCTACAGGTGGTTCGGTTCCAGGGATGGAGGGACAATCGAAGATGGTGGTACAAGAAGAGGGTAGGGAAGGAAGCGGGAAAAGGAAGCGAGAAATCATGCAGTAAGCTCAATCAATCATGCAGCTTGGATCAAAGAGGCAATGATCTTTGCAAGTCAGCTGTTCAGCTAGATCTAGCTCAATTGCCCTGCAGCAAGATATGACTGCAGCTTGCTGCAGGGCGATTGAGCTTACTGATTCTCATTCATATGGATTGACTCAATCGCCCTGCAGCAACCACGTGTAGAAAGTAGATTTTTGAGACGTCTAAAAAATCAGGGACAGGGAGGAGAGTGGGGGGAGGGAAACGGTTGGTGGGAGAAAATCAGTTCAGGGGCCTTGGTAGGCATGGCATGTGGCAAATAAAAGGAGGGAACGCATGAGTGGAACAGAAAGGAGACAGGGAGCAGGTGAGAGAAAGCAAGAGTCGTACGCTTCAAAGGGCACAAGGGTAGTTGGGAGTCCAACATCGATTGGACGACGGCGACAGTGAGGAAGAGAGCTGCACCCGTTTGTAACAGGGTTACCACGTGGCCCACCCTGCTCCACCGCACCCACGCACGGTAGCGACGCTGATGACAGGCAAGAATGGGGGACAGAATGGGGGACACACGTTTGTAACAAGGTTACCACATGGGCCATCGTGCTCCTCCTTGCCCATGCATGCACAGCCACGACCCTGAACGCACGAGCATGGTAGTGGCACAGGTTGGGTGGGTGGGTGGGGGAGGGAGGGAACAAGGGTGGGGGGGAGGGTGAGAGAGAGCTGAGGACCCACACATACATGAGTCACCCTGATGCTCCTCCTTGCCCACGCACAGTAGCGACCCTGAACGCACAAACATGGAAGTGGCACAGGACGGGTGGGTCGGTGGGGGAGGGAACGATAGAGGGGTAGGGGGAGGGCGGAGGACCCATAAGCACCTGTCGCTCGGACTTGTTGGCGCTGCCAGACAGTGAGGTGGACAGCCTGATCGCTTGGAGCTCGTCACCATCCGATTCCGCGTCACTCCCCCAGCCTTTTGATCCCCGGGTCTCCTCCATTTCCCCCTGCTTGATTACTTTCTCTCTCTGCTCCTCCTCCCTCTCTTCCGCCTCCTTCTCTTTCTCCTCCTCCTTCTCTTCCTGCTCTCCCTGATACCCCTCGTCGCCTGCTTTTTTCTCGTGCAGCAGCGACCCGGCTGTTCCCCCCTCTGTCAGGAGCTTCATCCTCCTTATAAGATGATCTTCCGCTTTCGTTGAGAGATGCCAAGTCCTGCGCTGAACCGGCTACGGTTATCGCGTCAGCTGCTGCTGCGCCTATGGCCCAAAACACGCGCAGGAGGCAGGTAAATGCGACTGTAATGAAGGAGATTGTAACGGTGCTGGAACATTCATTCTTTTTGCACTGTACAGCTGTGGCGAAAGAAGTACCAGCAACGAGAAGAATGAACGGCAGAAGGATCAGCGAAATCGTGCGAAATCGACGAAGCCCGCTACAGCAACCGAAGCCTCTTCGCCAAGTCCCCATTTCGTCCGCATGAGAAGAAGCCGAACCGCGACTTGATTTAGCTCACAATGATCGCACAATCAGGAGAATTTGTAAGTCATTGACGGTCTTTAATACCGTTTGATTTTTTCTGAATGCGAGCATCTACAGAATCTTTGGACCTTCTTGGATGTCTGAACACTGCTTTGCTACGGTCTCGTCAACCTTCTTAGGTGTCTGACATAATTCTAAAGCACGGTACCGTCACCTAGAGGGAGCCGCTTGAAAGCTGGGCCTCGAAGCAAGCAATGGCAACGAATGAAATGAAGCTGCTTGCCAAATTGCCACCTGCTTGGATACGACTGGTGAACCGTGTTTGTGAAGCCTGTGGGCTGGGCGTAAACGATTTTGTTGTGCAGTTACCGTACTTGGATGAGACCTGTTGTGACGAGGCCTGTCGAAGTTTCTGGGGACTCTGAGAACGTTGTGGCGGAGTTCCGAGTGCGTTTGCCCCATGATCCGAGGCCTTGGATCCGTGTGCTCCGGATTCCGAAGGGCTTGGGCGCAAGGCTCCGCCACATACGACAAGGCCAGCCGCTCACAATTCCGCGCCCACCTGACCGTGAAAAATGTGTTCCAACCAACCTGTCCGTGACCCTTTGTGCTAGTGATGTTTGTCGCGAATGACATTTTTCACCATCTTAACTCTTTGGCCGACAAGTGACGACCGCCGGTCGCATGGCCGGTTGCGACCAACTGGTCTTCTCTGCGTCGTTATATGCTTTAACTCGGTTTTTTTTTTTGGCTGCCACCTTAAACCTGCAGCAGGTGTGTTCCTTTATACCATTGATCTTATGTGTTTTATGAATAACATGAGTACAAGTGTAGCATCCTACGTTTGCTCATTGTGTTTTATAGTCATTGTTTACCAAGTGTAGGTGTTCTGCACACGTGGCCATGGCAACAGTTGTTGTCAGAGTCCCAAGGCTGCAAGAGCCAATAAGCGTCGTGTAGGGAACTTTTTTTTTTTGCGGGAGAATCATCCAGCCCAGGGTTGGATGACCAGATCTGGACACGGGCTTCTGTGTGTGGTGGATGGGTATGAATGGATGTTTTCGTGCTCATTTGCTCCTTTTCATTTGCATTTCATGCTCCGCAAGCTCTTTGAGATCTTTTCATCCAACACTTGTTAGTCCACCAGCGTAGTCTTTTAAGCCTGCTTGGCCCACTAG